CAAAGAGGAGTAGAACTTATAAACCTGGAACAGGATGCAAGCAGGGTAGATGTACCACTATATCTAAATCCTGACAAACGTACTGTTAACATGTCCTGCCTCTTTCTGTCGCATCAGCCTTCCTTTCTAAGTGTGAGGGTCTAGACCAGAACTGAGGTTTGAGCAAGGGAGTCCAAAACACAGAAGGTACCTGGCGTCAAAATCTACCCATGTTGTAATGGAGAGACACAGGGGCAAGTACACCTGCCCACAGCTGTAGAGAACCAGTGACCTGCTAAACAGCCATGTTTGTTTGTTTTCTGTATGTTGCCAGTAGGCAACAAGTGGGATACCTCTACGACTCATCTAAATGTAGTGTATTGTGCACACTTAGTGTCTCACTTATATTTGATCATTCCATCTTTCACTATTTTCAACAAATGCTCTACTTGATATCTAACATGTTACACTAGCTACTTCCTTCCATGCTTAGTTTCTCGTTAATTTTTAGACATTGTATATATTTACACACATGATATGCACGTTTTGAAATATGTTCACATTGTGTAATCGCTAAATCAAGCTGATTAACATATGCATTATTTCACATACCATTTTTTTGTGATGAGATCACTTAAACACAATATTTTAAAAATTTATTATACATATATATATATATATATATATATATATGTATGTATACAAACAACTTTGGGTACAAAGTTGATTTTCAGTAGTCATGTACAATGTGTGATGGTCAAATCAGGACACTTAACTTATTCATCATTACAATACATAATTATTCTTTGCGACTGTAACCCAATTCTCACCAACCCCCCTCCCTCTCCCACACTTTTCCACTTTTAGTAATCATAATACTCTCTCTTTCTCAAAGTTCATTGTATTATTGTGATTGTTGTTTCTTTCCCTCTCCCTATTGTTTACTTATGGTTTCAGCTCCTGCTTATGAGTGAGGACATATGGTATTTCTCTTTCTGCACCTCTTTTTGCTCTTAGCAAAGTTTTCTCCAGGCTTATCCATGTTGCTGAAAGGGGATCCATTCTACACTGTTGGAGGGAGTGTAAATTAGTGCAGCCATTATGGAGAACAGTATGGAGGCTTCTCAAACAACTACAGACAGAACTAGCATAAGATCCAGCAATCCCACTACTGTGTATATACCCGAAGGAATGGAAATCACCATGTTGAAGAGATACCTGCACTCCTGTGTTAACTGCAGCTCTATTTACAACAGCCACACTATGGAACCAACCTAAAAGTCCATCAGAGGATGACTGGATAAGGAAAATGTGTATATACACAATGGAATACTACTTAGCCAGAAAAAAAAAATCACATTTAGTTTCTTCTATCCTTGTTACATTTTTTATTAGCAGAGTTTTTAAATAATACCAAAGATGTAAATAATACAGCAAAGTTACACATTCCAGCAAGAGTTATTTACAGGAGAAATTTCTGAATCCAAGTGACACTACTGTCCATTTAGTTGGTTACCCACTAATGTCCCTGTGGCACACTTGTACTTCTACTAAACAAACTGCATGTATGATGGTGGCAGGGCTAAGATGGGAAGGCAAAGGGGGTGGGGGACTGATAATGGAAAATTCCTAAATTAGTGGCCAGAATAGACATACTTTCACGAACGCATAGGACTATTATTTTTAAATTATTATTCACATATCTATGAGGAAAAATGCAACATTGACGTATATTGATTTTTCAAATAGGCTCCAGTAGAGAGAAAATTTTCAGAGTCCTGCTCCTTAGTCTATATCAAAAGATGAAGTTATTTAAGACTTTCTGACAATGTGTATTTCCATTCTAAGATGGCTCCACAGAAGTTTCCAATAAGTAAATTCTTTTCTTTAATTCTTAGGAGGTGGACTATAGGAAATTACTCATCACTTACTACTTCTGTTACGTAGGCCCATCTTTTCACAAATGCCATAGTTATCAGCTGTGAAGACTGAAGACAGGATGATGGCAGAACAACAGCTGTCAGCTTGGCTCTCTGAGCTTAGATATTCCAAGCTCAGCTATTTCATTAATGTACAGACATTCTCTACCACAAATAAGCACGCTCCTTTGTACTCTTCTGTCTCCCCCTCGCCCCTTCTCCCTACACCACTGCAGACACCCAGCAAGCAATCTAGCCTAGTTTTTTTCCCATAATAAAGCCCTGTAGTTATCATGATATTCATGATAACTTATATAAACTACTGTATCCTGAAGAGTACCTTCATCCAGGTAGATAATTTCCACCTCACATAAATTATAGAGAATATCTCCAATTTTAGTATCTCTTACCTGTCCCTGACCTATCCCCTAATTTACATGTAGTAAATATATTTATCATGAATATTGTCAAGTCAGTCAAATAACACATTCCAAAAAATCCATGGAGTATAAAGTTAGTACCACTTCACCCTCTACTCTGCCATATAGATTAGCTTTATGACTGACTGAAAATACAAACTCAACAGGGTAAATGACAAAACTTAGTGAAATATTTATAGCAACATTTTAAATCCTGATGGATTTTATCTCATCTCGTATGCTCATATAGCTTTGATCTCTGATGTCCTTCTGTTAATAAATAAAATGAATTCCAGCATGGATCAAATACAACTATTACAACTAGTTCAATTTTGATGACTTATATCAGGGCTTTTCAAAATTTCATGCGTCTATGAATCACTTAGGGATCCTGTTAAACTGCAGATTCTGATTCAGTAGGTCTGATGTAGGGCCTGAGATTCTGCATTTGTAACCAGTTCACAGATGATGTCATGTCTCCTTCATGAGTACATAGAATAGAGCATTTCTGAAATGTGTAGACATAAGCTACTAGCATCCAAGAACAGATAGGAAAAGAAAACGGGAGTGACAAATAACTCATGAATACATAATAACAGCTAATATAAAATTATAGTAGCAATATCAAACATGGAGGTCAAATATATTCAAAAATAAAAAGCAATTTTCCTGACAAGAAGTATTTACTTTCACAAATATTTTTCAAATACTGCTACGTTTGAACCATAAAAGGAAAAAGCAGAGTGTTCCTTTGATACATATATAGAACATAAATCATTATTAGTTCATTAGATTAGCTCCATGAAAATCACTCAGGAAAAACCAATCATAGGTAATTCTGTTGGTATATGCAGAAAACCAACATTATTTGTGTTCAAAATCCATTTAGAATGGCCGATAGGCCAAAAACCCAGGTTAAAAGAGTAGACAGTGTCACTAATACATTGGACTCAAACAAAAAAACAGAACTGTCAGTTGGAACACACCTAAAACAGACTCCAACTAAACAGGTAATTACTGTGTAGCTCAGACATTGATGGAGTTAAAAGACTGACGAATTATTTGACATGTTCAAACATTCAGCATATAGAATTTTGATAGATAACCAATATGTATATAGCTATATTTTTCTCCCAAAATGATACTCCCTCTTTTTCAGAGAACTGAGAGATAATGTAGCTTGTTCTATTTTTCACGTAGTTTTATGCAACAAAATGCTTTAACCCATTTTCAGATGTGTCGATTCTAACCTATTTGCATATGCTATAGATTTTCAAACAAGTTATGAAAAAAGCTATTGTTTTGTGGTTAATAAATGCAGTTTGGAGAAAAACTGTGCCTATAAAATGGTACAATTTTTTATGGATAAAACATATAAATTCTTACATGAAAAATTACAAGTTTTCCAACATTTACCCTCTCCCAAAACCATACGCTTTCACCAGGGCAAAACAAAAAGTCACATCTAACACATTCCCCAAACTGCCCCACTCCTACTGCAGTTCATATGCACATGTGCTCACACACACCCCTACCTAAACCCCAGATTTTCATATCAAAAAAGATATCTCCCATTCTTTAAAAAATTATTCTATTAGATATTTTAATACAATCTGCTTATCTGTGTATGGATTGTTTTCCCTCTTGTACATATTTTATAGAATTTGAGAAATTCTAAGGAATGATACAGATTAGATCATACATTTATTTAAACAATACTAAAGACATATAAGTCAAAATCATTTCTGATACCTAAATGCCACAAGATGCATATATGTATGGAGATATTAGGATCTGAGTCATCACTGTACAAGGGTACTTCAAAAAGCTCGTGAAAAGATTGATATTATCTTTCAATTCTATTTTTCCATGAACTTTCTGAAGTAATCTCATTTATACGGGAGGTGGAAATGTATATTCTTATCCAATTCTTTTTAACAGTTACCACTTTACATAGTTCAGCCCTACATATCTCAGGAATTAAAGAACTTTCCTTTATATTTCTCTCAGATGAACATGTCTACAGATGCCCTAATGCAAAGAAAATAGGTTCTTAATTATCAGGGGAAAATGTCTAGGATCTCATCTGGCATCTTAGAGGAATACTTTATTTCCTCCCAATTAAAAGAAAAGGCAGTACTCAGTATGCTTCGATTATCTTCAGAGATTCAAAAGATCCCTCTGAACAGGTGGTATTTTGGTTTGTAGTTTTCAATAGGAATTTTAACATTTAGCCTGGCAACCAGCAAAATGAGGCCAAGTTATTCTTATTTTTAGTATCTAAACAGACCAGTTACCCCTCCTTCATTCTGTATCCTTCTGTGTATAAAACACAAGACAGCATTTGGTTCATCTTCGCTTTTATGCTGGAACTTTTTAGGAGGACTAGTGCTCTCTACAGTAAGTGAACTTCTGCTAAAGAAAGCAGAATTACCTATTAATGTGTCTCAATCAAAAGGAAAGAAACTTCAGTCTTGAACTCAAGTCCTGCTGCTATAAAGGATGAAACACAAATGTCTTTTCGTTATTCCTCCAATCAACTAAAAAAATTAGACTGGGGAAGGTGGTCAAAATTGAATTCAGAAAGAAATACAAATTTATAAAGAAATATGAATTTAGATAAACTTGGGACAGAAAACTCAGGTAAACCTTTTGTGACACAGCAGGAACTACACAAAGCACAAGAATTTAAGAACATTTTTTAATGGCTGAAACCAGTCTTTTTGAGGTGACTATGAAAGTGAGAAAAATATTAGAACAAATAACTGTTAATGCACATTCTAATCTCTCTAATATTTCACACACTAATTCCTTTATTATCATTTACATCTCTTAATACTAGAACAGCATTCTGAGGTTGCCAAGTATAAGTTGCTACTGAGTAGAAAGACCAAAATCTACCCAGATTTCCAGAAGAGCTTCAAAACATGGAAAATGACCAAGTCCTTAAAATACTAAAAACTAAAATGTGCTAAAAATGATGTCCATTTGCATGAACAGTGACAAAAAATATAAGCCCATAGTTTTATAAATCAGAAAATGATTATGATGCCTACTGTTTCTGTACAAAGAATTTCATAGAGAAAGAAATTTTAGTAATATATAATAGCTCATAGCCAATAGTTTTGTTTTTCCATACTTAAGTGTCTTAAAATATTTGGTGTTCATGAAATGCAATGTTCTGACAGTCGTGGGACTGTCGCAACTGAATGAGGATACTCCTAGGGTGATCGTGTTCTTTCCTTGATGAGGAAGACAAAAGTTCAGGGCCCAAGATTTGTTTAGAATGTCCACTCCTCTGCTGAATTTGCCACCAGGGAACCAATGAATGAATCAGAACAAAAACCAAACAAAAAGCAAAACAAAATAATTGGTTTGTGCTTAAGTCTGTTCTACTGGAACTGAAATTGATTCAACTGTGTAAATGATGAATTTTAAAATGTGCCAGGTTCTTGTTCAAAGTACAAAAAAAAAAATTAGTGCCACCATTTCATCGACTCAAAAATAAGATGTGTTTGTAAAAATAATGCATGTTGTATCTTCATTTTGTAAATCAACATTACCAAAGGTCCTGATGTAGCTGGTGCATAAAGGTAGGGATTCATTTGCTGCCTGTAAAGTAAAAGAAATGTTACTACTTATCAGTAAGCAGTGGAATAATAAAACAGACAAAATTCAAATTCAATTTATCCAAGATATCACGTTTTCTATTACTCAGTCCAGTTTCTAAAGGTGTAGAGAGAAGTGCTCTAGTGGACTTTACCAATAAAGCAACACATGTTCCCATCCATTCAAGTAGGAGACATGGAAGGCTGCTTCCCAACTCTAACCAGAGAAGGAACAGTGCTAATTTAGTAAGCTCTGGACAAGCATTCTCACACCCCTCAGATCATCTTCTCAAGATGGATATACCACTTTCATAAGGACCATTGGATTATTTTCCTTCCAATCCACTGAGTAAAATCACACGTCAGCACCACCATCTTATACTTTCTTCTCCCCTGTATATTCATGTCCTTATTTGTTTCAATTGTTCACAAATCTGTCCAAAGGCAGGAGTTTTAGAATTTTCAAAACCAAGACTTGTTTGAGGAACATTACACATCTGTGATTCTCCTAAATGTAGCAAATCAAGTAATTAACAACAAAAAATATCTTCTCTACTTTTTTAAAAGAAACATAGCTTTGTAAAGGGCAGTAATTTTTTTTTTATAAAAGTCAAATGTATAAGCAAAACTAATTTTTAGCAAAGACATCCCAGAAAATTTTCAATTCTTCACCATAATTGAGACATATACAAACCCAGGTAATCTGAAATTCAGAGATCATTATGCAGTGATGAATTTTATCACAATTTTAATATAGAATACTTATAGAAAGTATTTTATATCTTCTATGTTTTCTTTTGAAAAGCATGCTTTCCCACTAGAACAAGATTTTAGTTATTCTTTCAGCAGATCATCTTTTCTGTTATATAAATGATCGCATGAATATCTTTAATTATCGCTTGTTTGTTACTGGGCTAATGACAGGTATTATAGGTGATGAAATACTACCTTTACGATAATGTGAATATACTGTTAGCATTCTGAATACATTCTGTCCAAATAGATTGTATTATTCAGTCTTCTTTTCAGTGAATAAATAGTGGCAGAAATGATCAAAACAAAAGATTGGGTTACCTACCCAGATACAAGCTCTCAATCTCATAAAAAAATTATTGGTCCCTAATTTCTATTTTGTTTTTTTAAAAAAATCATCAATTTAACTGATATGTATTTTGATAAGAGAATTTTGCATCTGTTAAAATTTATGATTTCATGGAATGTCTCAGGAATATAGAATGAATACTAATAAATCCAGGCTACTGGAAACTCACGAAATTGTATTAGGAACTAGATGTAATAATTCATATAAAATGGTTAGCCTGATTCCGGCACACAGTGAAAGCTCAATAAATATTATTTATTGTCATCAGTAGCAGCCCCAGAAATTCTATACATAACAGCTTAGGGTGCAGTCTGATTGCAAGCAGAGAAGACTTGTTTTGAAGTTGTTCTTTTCATAGCAAGCATACTGCTTTTATTTACATTGCATATATTTTTGAGGTGGTCAGGAAGGAAGGCTGATGGAAACTACAGAGGTCCTGAAAAATTCTCCTCCCACAGGCCACACCAATGTCACCTATGATTATTAAAGAAACGCTTCCATTTAGGGAACAGAGGGTGAGGCATTCATTTCTATTTATCTACAAGGGGGCAAGGGCACTAATACTGAAAGCACTAAGGCCTGGTCCTCCTCTATGATTTAGCCTAAACTCTTAGATCTTGTCCATGTTTACCCACTTTTTCTGCTAAACTCTGAATAATTTCATTTTACTGCACTATTTCCTCCTGTTTTTTTGAACTGCTATATTCAAATTTTAGGTAATGTCTTTTAATCGTTCATTTCGGCTTCACATTAAACATCTTGGATTCAGACAATCGATGGCTAGCATGTCTACATGCAGGAATCCTGGGGGTTTTTTATTAATATGTTATCTTCATTTTAGAATTCATTTCACTGTAGTTTTTTTAATAGCTTATTTAATTTCCCTGTTTTCCTTTCCCTAGTAAATTTCAATCTCTCTGAATCTTCATAATTTGTTATTGAATCTCTCCTAGTCAATAATATATTACATTATACATTTTAATTTTTATAATTAATTAGCTATAAATCAAAATGAACAAGTCAGAATTTTGGACAAGAGCTATACTTGTGCTAAATTTACAGTGGTCATAATTGCATCTTTTATTTTTCCCAGAATTAAAAAATGTAATTTAGTGATTTGCTTGATACTCATGGGTCCTATTTACTAATCTAGTCTTCATTTGTATTTTAATTTACATCAAGCACCTCAAAATTGGAGACTATATTAAAAAATGATAGTTGGCTAGTCATGTCTAGAAATATAACCCCTCTTTGACAAAATGAAAACAAGTAATATATAGTTACTTAAACAAAATATTTTTAATATATACTTACTTATTTCACTTGTTTTGATCTGCATACACAGTATGAAATCATAAAAGCAACAAACATTAATACACCAACACTCAGTAAGATAATTTCTACCAGTCCAAGAAGGTTTATTTTTCCAGTCACTTTATTTCTGAACATTTCTGCCCTCTCATCACCAATGGTACCAGTCTGTAATCAAATTAATAATTAGCATTATTTGGGTAGATTAGTAAAGAAAAATACTCAGGCCTCCCAATTATTTATCACCCTTTATATCCAGCACCTTTACAGGTGTTAATCATCTGTATCTGTAAGCAAGTCAGCAGAATTCCCTTTGCATATCAACGAAGGCAGTAAAGGCTAGTAGAAAATTTAGACAGTGAAACAAATCACCCTCATTTCAAACATGCTGTATGACACTCTTCAATGTACTAGGACTCATTTGATCTTCAAAACTGCCTCTGAAATATTTCAGTTTTCCAAAGGATGTTTCCCAGTGACAGAGGGTTTCTCAATGTCGAGAGTTTTACCTTCTCTAAAGGCTTATTCAATGCAGTGGTTTACACTAAAAATGTCTTGTCAGGCAATAAGACAGACTGCCCACGGGCCGGCCCGGTGGCGCACTGCTACAGTGCGCTGCTTGGGAGCGCGGTGGTGCTCCCACCGAGGGTTCGGATCCCACATACAGACCGGTTCCCGCTCACTGGCTGAGCGAGGTGCGGGCACAACACCGAGGGTTGCGATCCCGTTGCCGGTCCCGGTCCAGTACAGGCGCAACACTGAGGGTTGCAATCCGTTGCCAGACACGAAAAAAGACAAAAAAAAAAAAAAAGATAGACTGCCCACACCTACCCTAACCTTGCCTTTATAAGCATAGTTGGCTTTTATTAATGCTATAATATTTAGTGAGTTTTATTTGCAGTTACATGAATATACTTCTTCCCTATGACAAGCACTACAAGAAAAAGTTGTTAATAGATGCATTTTGGAGATAATGTTAAATGATAGGTGGTGTTTTGTCTTTCTAAACTAACACAAACTTTATTTCTGTGCAATTTGGTTCTCTCAAATAGGTGTAATCAATGTGCAAACTCATCCATATGAGCAATGGAGATACACACAATTTCAAAGTCTATACATACATGTCCAATTTTTGAGGCATCAAAAGCTTTTTTATATACAAAGAAGCTTATTTTTTTTAATTAAAAATAGACTAAAATACTAACCTCATTAAGCCAAAGTACAGGCACAATGTAGTTCTTCTTCAGACCCTTTAATGTTCTGTAACATACATTGAAAATAATTATGAAAAATATACTAATATATTTATATATGCATAACATTTTAATAATTACCAGTGTAAATAAATGCTCAGAAATTGGTTGCTCTTACAAATTGGTTAAATCCCTTGATTTTGGCTCCCTTCAAAAAGTCATTTAAATTTCAGTATAGCTGTTTCTCGGACAACTTTTACTCTTATAATTCTTTCTCATACAGATTTTCCCTTTGAACAAGTTCTACCCAGGAAAGTAAAATATGTGAGTTCTAGGAATTACTGTCATGGAAATATTTGGGCAGCTAACAAAACGAGGATGCCTCCAAATACTCAAAAACCATTACAAAACATACCTAAATACCATTTCAATAGACACTAGATATGATCCTAAGTACAAATACAGCATTTGGTGATTATTGCTTAGTGACAAAAAGCTAAAGGGAAGTTGACATTTGATATTCTTTCCACTTTCACAGATTTACACTCATGTTCTTACGTGAAAATAATACAAAATAATATAAAGATAACCTTGTTCAAGAGACTCACTCAATTTTCTTTGCTGGTTTGACCAATATGTTGACCTGCAGCCGTTTTGCGAACTGTAAAGTGAATCCAGTTATCTAAAAAGAAAGCAAGCTAAATTACTAACTTCTTTTTAAAACATCCAAAACTTATTTTTATTGTAACAGTAGAAGAGAAAGAAAGAGCACATAGAAATTAAGGTAAAATACAAATAAAAAACTTATTGATTAGACCTATTAAAATGTATATAAAATTATATTATATATGTATGCATACAAACACACAATGTCTTTGCCCAACCTAATGTCAATGCTTTAGTTAGATTTGTGATATTTACCTCAAAGAGTTTTAAGGAAATCAACAGCAATGATAAAACATAAGAGCTCAGATAGTTCATTTAATTCATGAATTATGCATGGTCAAATATATATTCAGTTAGAATCATAATACTACTTTTCATTATCATTTAAACTGAAACATGACTACTAAAATAAAAATGAAAACTGGTGTGCTACAGCCATTTTTATATTTTCCTGACACTGATCATAATAGATTTTACGCCAAATTCACATATCCTGGTAAAACCTTTTAATCCCTCATAATACTCATATACTGTGACTTCTAATAGAAGCAATACTTGGAGTTAAATGCAATATTATCACAGAATAATAACTTGTATAAAATTGTTTTAAGACAATTACAATCATTTCTATCACTGGCATTCCTGACCTGTAAATCATCTGAAAGGTTTATAAAGCTCTATAATGTGAAACTAAAATTGAATCTTCTTGACATTTGATAAGCAACAACAGGGAGAAATCAATAAAATTTTCATTGACATAAAGTTTCAGTAACTTAAGAATATGATTCAATAAATATGATCACCAAGTGCGACATAAGATCTTTCTTACATTAAATGTCATTTCTAAAAACAGTATTAACCAAATCAAATGAATAAAATATTTGCTTACAGGTTCAACATCCAAGTATGTCCTATGTTCTTCTTCATTTGGATTTAAGCCTTCAGTAGTTTCTAGAATATCAGGACTTGCATGTAGAAAATGAGGAAGTGAAATGTACACAGGTTTTCCTGAAAACAAGTTTTAAGAGTCAACTGGGAATAAATAATTTTCCTCATTTCATATATCACTCAAAGTATTTCCTTGAAAATATTTCTATGGATGAGAAAGCTAGAACAATGACAGATGGATAACTTGGGACACTTAAAGCATCACAAGAGAATTAATTTCATTTCACTCTAAATCTAAAAGCAGCACAGGGAAATACTGGCATGGTTTTATCTAATGATAACCAAGTTTTGCAACACTGAAACGCTATTGGGACTTCAAAAACAATACAAAATCAACATCAAAATTTTCTGCCATTACCCTTACCTTCTGTCTTTATTGCTTCCTTAAATTTAAAGTTTGGCTGGAAAAGGATTCTGGCTAAAGGTTGCATTTTAAAGAATATTGTAAATTTTGTCACGGACCGTGACACTGAGAATATTTACTCGCCTTCTTTGCATTTGCCGATGTATAGCACACCGTATGATGTACAATTTTTTGAGATAATTTCTTCTGTGCAGAAACAATGGTTGTCTGGGTTTTGAAGTGGAGATGCAAAGGCCTTGGATGGAAGAACAAATCTATACACAGGGATTCCTTTCAGATTAACTTCGGACTCAAATACAGCATAGATTGACCTAACAGATAAAAAAGAGCTTTATTCAAGGAGCCTGAACTATATTCTTGAGATTCACTTTTTTTCCCCCTTATATTATCGTCTTACTTTAAATTAGAAAAATTGGATACTCTTGACACAATTTTAAACACTCATTTAATTCTTAGGACAAAAGTTCTTATGAAATTTTAAGGCATACCAGAACTTGATACCTGAGTATGAACTATTCTGATCTTTGTTCTCAAAAGCTTCCAAGAGTTTTGCTTGTGAACTAGCATGGAGTATTAATACCAAAGCCACTTCTCATAGTTAATGACTTCCCTCAAATCCTTGATTTGTGCTCAGTTTAAATAAAATAAAAAAAGTTTCTGTCCTTTAAAAATTTGAGAGAAAGGTCACTTGGCAAGCTGTGCATGCCTGATACATACCTTGTACACCATTTACTGTCTACTATGACCTAGGGCTCAATCCACATCTCTTCTAATTCCCAGACAACCCTATACAAGTATGAAGAAACTGCTCTCTTCAATAATATAGAAAAGAAAAAGCTTCAAAGATATCAAATGTTTATCTGTAATCACACAGTCTTTAGGAACAGGGCTGGAGCACCAGGGTAGTGGTATGAGCTCCAGTGCTTGTATGGGTGGTATCTATTGGGACCAGATAATTTGAAAAGATGCCACGATGGCAGTAGAGCACATTAATTAACACAGTTCAGTGATAGTTGCATCATCTTCTCTGGACATCTTTAGGAAGACTGGGCATGCCCTTCTAGACTTGATTGTTATTAAATATACTATTAGTTTAGTAAAAAGAAAAACAGTTCTTGGTTAGACAGAAATGGCAAAGAAAATAATTTACATTATAAAAGTATTGAAGATGTAGAGGATATTTTGTGAACAGTTAACATTATGAATTCCATATTCTTATATTTATTCTTCAGAAATCACTAAATTTCCCTAAGCATATTTTATTTTTCTGAAATAATAAGTTTCTTGGCCTGCATTTTGTCACTTGGGGAAAAAAGTCTGATTCACATGCATACAATTGGTGTCTTTGTCTTACCTGCAAATGTCAGAGGAAAAGAACTGCAAGATCCGGGTCTTCTCGACAAAAGGTGGAAATGAGGCTGCATCTGTTTAAAAATCAAGCCAAAGGTAAGTGACTAGATGTCATGTGTATTCTGGAAAAATCTATAAATCTCTAGTCCAGCATGATCAATAGAAATGTAATATGTTTTCTTTAACCCAATACATCCAAAATATTATGATTTTAACATGTGATCAATAAAAAAATTAAGACATTTTACATTCTCAATTCAGTGTGTATTTTATAGTTACAGCACATTTCAATTCATATTAGCCACATTTCAAGTGTTTAATAGCCACATGTGGCTAGTGGCTACAAATTCAACAAATCTGCATGCTATACACATTCACTGGTACAAAATAAAAGAAACTTTAAAGAAATAATGGTAAAATCAGATGTTAAAGCTATGATTGGTTTTTTCCCCCCCTTTTAAATGCCACACTCCATCAGAATGGCACTCTTCTTACCAAGAAGATCATTTAGAACTCCTGCTATATCTACACTGTTCTTATTTTTAATTGTGGTTCATTCACCTGCGCTAATGGTAATTAATATTTTTGAAACAATTTACTAAAGTTCTCTCACTAAATAGAATTTCCTGCAAATGCCTGGAAAACATAACCATCAAATTTAAAAAGGCATTTATTGAGTTTATTAAATTTGTACTATAGTTATGATCCATGACACATATTGCATATATAAAGAAATAAGTAGATAACTCTTCCATTTGCTTTTCAAATGAGTGCCATCCCCAAACGAGCCACCATTGAAAGTGTTTGTTTAAAATGGTAAGATGCATTTTTCAATTAAGCATTCTAGGTTCTCTTTCTGGCAAATATTTCAACCTTGTGACCTTGTTATCTTTCATATACACTCTGTTAAAATGAAATATAACACAAGATCACAGTGATCACTGTTTGATCCTGCCATTGAGAGAACTGGATATTAAAGTCTACCTTAAATTCCCCACATAGGTCTTAGATGGGCATTGCCTACAACTGCCTTCCCAGTACCTTGGAAGGAGAATGCACTGAAAAGCTTCAAGAATTATCTGAAAATTATGTCATAATTAATCCCAGCTCTTACAATGGGCAATGACCACAATGTAGCTGATATTAGCAGGGCTTTTTATTTTTCCTGAAAGAAACATTCTACACATATACCAATATTTTCATTTTGCCTTTTCTAATTTCCTGAGGAAAATAGAGGATGCACTTCTAAATCATGATGAAATACACTGGAATCTTTCTGCTTCATTAGGCTCTAATGATGAATAGAATCTTCAGGGCCATCACCAAGTACCGTAACCAAGAATCTCTCTCACAGGGATAGTTCCTTGTCCTGCCCAACCTACCTCTGCTCCTAGTTTGTTTTACTACTGTTTTCCTCTTAGATACTTTTAACTTCATGCCTGTTGCTCATATATTAATATTATGGTCATTAATGAATGTCCTACTTCCTGTTGTTAAATCTGTCGACTTCTTAGCTTTGGACAGAACTTTTTAATGATTTTTTTTCTTAAACCAACACAGAATACTTTACTATTTAGGAGGAGCACAGTGTATTTCTCTCTGTATCTTAGGACTAAATATTATGCTTATATAATTACTAGAGTTAGGAGTATTGAGGATTTGACAATTTATTTGCAGAAATGCTTTACTTAGAAAGAAATTTCTTCAGCTACCCCCATGGCTCAAAACCCTACAAAGCGAACACAGCAATGATTTTGCTGTGTTTTTTTTTCCTACAAGACAATGATAAAATTAAATGAGCATGCAAAATAATCATACAGTTGGAGAAGTAAACATTTCCTGTACTTCCTTTTTATTTAACTTTCTTCATTTTTATTATATCATTTTCCTATAGGTATTTTCTAAACAACTTAGTAAACATCATGCTTTTGTTTCTTAGTAGTCAGAAGCCCACCTCTGGTTTTAACTACCTTATGGTATTTAATTCCCATTAGTTTGTAAAACAAAAGTTTTTACAAAGCATACATTTCCCTAGCAATGTAGTCAGGGCTAATCTTCTATGGTTAATCTTCAGAAATTGTATCACATTAAATAGACATTTACTAAGCTTATATAAAAACAAACTCTGAATTATGTTGTGAAAATATAAAGTCAGGTCAACACATATGCTGAACCTTCAGAACAGTTTAGGTATGGTAATGGATTTCTGGGAGAAAATGAGGTGGGTTTATTGTTATTATTACCACAAAACAAATGTCCTTACCTGTACCATTAATCATGTCACAATAACTTGTCCAGTAGGTTAGATTCCTTAGAAATAAGAAAGAAAATGAACATTCTCACTTCAAGAGCGCTTTTCTCACATTATTTTTCTATTATTATTCATTACTTTTGCTAATATAATGAAAATCAGATGGACAAATGCAAGGTTTAAGAAATGTTCTCACCCATTCGGTCCATGTTTTGTTTAAACCTTTCATCTTATTGCAATAAATTAAGAGGCCAGATCATAAAATAAGAACTGTCAAATGCTAAGCTAATTAGAAGCAACTGGGAATAGACATAATTCTAAAAGAAGAAAATTTAAAAAGATGTCAGAAAAAGTTTGTTCCCCCTGCCCCATGGGACGTATGATGAGTGTTCAGAATGAATAAGAGGCAAATATTGAATGAATAACTGATGTAAGCTCAGTATGAGGGAGAAGAGGGGAGGGGAAAAAAAGAAAGCAGATGTTTAGATCAATAGAATTTTGAAATGTGTGGATAATTTACACTTTCTCCCCCTTTCAATTTTTTCATGAACTGGCATTAAATTAGGACATAGTTATTAATTTATGCTTTGCTGCCTAAATAAGTTAATTTTCCTGCATCCTTGGCCACTTTTTCTTCATAGAAAAACTGTTTTTTCCCACTCCTGACATCTCCTTATCCTGTGAGAGGTCAACACAAGCTGTCGCTTCTTTTTTAAACAGAATAAGCTGTTAATCATGCTCAGTCTCACCATGAGTTAAATCAACCTTATCATAATTTTAAAGTGATGTGAAATTCTTTTTCCAATTAGGAGCTCTTAGCCATTCTCCTCAAAGCCTCTCAATAATATGGAAATACAGTGAAATGATCATTGTTTCTCAATATGCAAACATTGTGATCTCCCCTGAAATGAACACTTTAAAGTGTTTGTTTTCCTCCACAAGACTTTTCTACAAAAATATGTAACTATGGACTCTTTACAAAAAAATTACTACACTAGTAAATATTTAACTGCTATATGCAATGATTAGCTAAGGACACAGTTTGAGGCAGTGGTCACTTATATTAATAAAAACAATCTTAATTTTGATTACTTTATTCTTTTTCAGTAAGAAACTGGCCTAAAGCGTAATTGTTAAGTTTAAGAAGAAGAGATATTTGTTAGGGTTCTTCCTATTTTTCATATGACAAATTATGAATCCTTCAGATGAACAGGCAGGAGGTAGGGGAGAAAGAAAATAATGGCTTTATGAAGCTATCTTGCTCTTTTACCATTTCACAGATGGCATATTCTTCATTTTCACATTTAATGTAAATCTTAGAACTGTACTTGGAATACCAATTCCATTTTTGAATTGATAAATGTTAAAAAAAAAACCCTGCATCATCAGTATAGAAAATTATTTCAAGATCGTTTGCAGAAGGAAAGTCATGAAAGCATTTGCATGGATTCATTAAGCCTCCAGCTATAGAGACACATTTAGGTCATGTCACTGGAAAGCACAATTTTTATTTGATATGCTCTATTGAAGTAAAACAATAAAATGTTTCTACCTACTAGACAATCAGTTGGTATCTTGATTTTCTTCCTTTTCCTTGGTACTTATCTAATTGTATGGATGTACTGTAATGCTGGATACACAGCAGAAATGAAACTAGGCCCTTTGGATTTCTTTGTGTAAGAGAACCTGTATATAAAGAGAAACCAAACCCTAACTTGGGCTAATATTCAGCTGCTGTGCACTGGTGTGAGTATGGCAGTTGGCAGGATTAAAGGGTTAATGCCTGGCTAAACAAGAACTCCCAAGGCTGAGATACAGATAGGTCTGTTCCATAGGTTGGTGCCTGTACCTTACAAGTTGTTAAACAAATACCACCCCACCTTAGAGTACCCTAGTAACACATACACATGTGCGTGCTTTACCCAGATACTTACTTTTTGCCTTTATAAGTGTCAATTATGGCAACTTTGCTTATGTTATCTTTTCCACTGAAAACTTTATAAACTCCATCTACAGTATTGTTGTACTGAAAAGATATGCACAGGAAAAAATTACTTCTAGAACAAGTCATATTTTCCAAGTTATAAAACATGTAATTAACTCACTCTCACATTTCTCAAACACAGGTTAGTCCTATTTATTTTATATGATTTGAAATAAACAGGCAATAAGATTTTTATATTATTGGCCTTTAAAACTTTTTCCAGGATAGAATGTAAAAGGTACCTAGAAATAAGTGCTAGATGCTGAGGCAAAGGAAGAAATTAAATACCAGAAATTGACAAGATCCAAACTCCAGCACTTTTTTTCATAAACAAGGCAATAAGGCCATTTGATCACTACTCCAATTATACTGAGGTGAAGGGATATTGAACAATACCTTTGAGAACAATGACTGACTTCTAGAGGTATTCTAAATGTTACAATCTTGAATAAGTGATTACTAAAATAATAAGAATTAGCCAAAAAAGTTATGAATATTGAGTTAAAATTATACTGAGTCTTTGATCCCTTAAGGCTTTCTACTTTCACATTTATTTGATAATATAACCTTGTAATCTAACCACTATCTAAAAGTAAAACAACAACCATTAACTAGAGAATATAACTAATATTCACATATGGTGACAAATGAAATCACAGTCAAAATTCAAGTTCAATAGTCAGCTTGTCCTATTTGTAATTCAAAACATTAAAGAATAACTACATGCTCATTTTCACATTTTCCTTAATCTCCAAACAGCCATTTCATGACACGTGTGGACCACCAGAAGTTTTTATTCACAAATCCCATTAAAGTAAGCCCTACTAACTTACCAACGTTGTTGGAGTGTGCAAATTTAGGCTAACTTTTAAATTAAAACAAATTTGCCAGATCTGGAGGAGGAGGAATGTAGGATAAATATATTTAACACAAACAAATGTAGTACTGAACATGATTCAGTGAGAAGGGCAATCAAAACTGAAAACAGTGTTGAAAGATTTACAGACTAACAAGCTGATTTTAGATAAATTGTATATTTATAGAAGAGTATAAACCTGGTTAAATATCAGAGTTTCTTAAAAGTACTAAATTCAGATAAGTTTCCCAACTAGGAAAGCTGAAGCCATAGATGGTGACTTTTTTAAAAAGTTAACCCAGATCAGCAATAGGGTTAACGCTAAACTATAAAATCAGTCTTGCCAATGCCACTTATTTGTCTAATTAAAATACAACAATATTGCCATTCATATTTGGTACTTACAGGATAAAACACACCAACTGTGGTAGGAACAGGATATGGAACCAAACTCAAAAATGGATCTTTATAGCCCCATAACAGCTCTTTCACAGTTCTGGTTTGAAACATAGAAGATTTTGACTTTTTGATAAGTGAATTGAGTACCACTTGAACAAATGCATTTGGGTAGAGGTGGGGTGCAGCCTATGAAAGATAAAAATCACTGTTTAAGACACCAATACAATACCAGATTTTAACAGGTAAATGGAATAAATACTATAATTAAGTTTAATATTTTTTAACTATATCTTTAAAATCACTGGCAAATCCTGCCAACACTGAAAGTGTAATCTGTCTAATCCCTAGATGAATACATTTCCCTGCCTCAATGCCAGCCACAAGAGGACATTCCAAGTTAAGCCCTATTTTTTTAATGATACACTTTAGGTGTCTAATTTAGTTGATTATTATGATTGCTGTCATCTTTCCAAATGACCTTAACTTCATTTAAAATAATGACATAGGAACATATTTTTATAAAAGTGGCAAAATAAAATCTGATAATAATTCTAGTGATGAGATTAATTATAGTGGGTGCTAGAGTATTTTTATACAAATAACTTGGTTGGTTGTCTACTCACTGCTACAGCCAGATTGATAACTGTGAAAGTGTCATCCTCTGTTCCAACTGATAGTGAAGGTTCGAATATGGCACCGTTGGGCTGTACAAAAGAGACTGTGTGGTCCTCAGGGTCGTGGGTAATGTTTTCCTTGGCTAGATAACGAACTCTGTATAAAAAAAAAAAAAAAAAAAAGAAAAAATTTTTTTAAAAAATTGAAAGTGTCATCCTCTGTTCCAACTGATAGTGAAGGTTCGAATATGGCACCGTTGGGCTGTACAAAAGAGACTGTGTGGTCCTCAGGGTCGTGGGTAATGTTTTCCTTGGCTAGATAACGAACTCTGTATAAAAAAAAAAAAAAAAAGAAGTAAAAATTTTTTTAAAAAATTGTCTCATGAACATTAGATCCTCCAATGCTATTCATTCATTCAACAAATAATATGTGAATACATAGAATATACCAGAAATTATGCTAAACAATGGGTTAAATGATAAGCCAGTGCTGGGTCTCTAGCAAACTAATCAGAAGGGGTCTTAAACTTGCAAACAGAAAATTAGAATATCAGGAGAGAAGTAATATGTGTTATAATGAGAGTTTACACAAAGTCCATGGGAAAACACAGAACAGATACAAATCCAGGCTTGGGATAGTCATAGTGGGGGTAAGAGTCAAGACACATTTTGGTAGTAAATTCCACATAAGTGGTCTAAATAACAAATAGAAGTCTAATTAGGTAAAGTAGGGCAGAAAGTAGCATGCATAAGAAAAAAGAACATGATATATTTTGGGACACAAATGTTTGAATGTGGTTGGATTACAGAGTGACAGTAAGGAGGGTGGTGGGAAATAAAGCCACTGAAATAAGCAAGATCTTAAACAAAAGGATTGCATCGCTCACTTGTTTAATAGACTATCCTGAGGGTAAGAAGGAGACAGTAGAGAGGTTTAAGCAAGGGAATGTTAAGAACACATTTTCTTATATTAGAAAGAACACTCAAAGTACACGCCTGTCTAGCATTGGCTTTTTCATCTCTTTCAGTTCTTTAATGAGAATTAAATCTAACTAATAGAATATAATTTCCCTTTTTAAAAGCTACAGACTAACTCTTCTTCCTCACCCCAATATATTCAATACTAATCAGTTCTAAGCTCCTGGCTCTAATGTATATAGGCTGCAAAGTACCAACTACTTTTTAGGATAGTGATGAAGAGTAATTATTATGGGAAAATAATTTGCAAATACAAGATATTCACTGAGATGAAATAATGTATACATCACTCATTGAAAGTCAATTACGTGAGGCGAATAGATAATTAAGGTAAAGACTAAAATTTAAAGAAAAACACATTTTGTTCTACATTTTGTTATAATAAAAAAGTAAATTTTTGTCGGGTAGAAATTATGAGTGTTTTGTATCCCCAAGCACAATGCGTGGTACATAGTGAGTTCTCAATAAATATTTTTTAATGAATGAAAAATTAATGGCTCATGTTCTTTCAAAAGAGAATTCAAAATCAGCTAGAAAGATATATTTAATATAATTTCATCAAAGCTTACTTATTTTCCTTGGAGTACTGTAGTCATACAAAGAACATAAAAATCTGAAACAGGACCCAGGACAGTCAATTACTAGAAATGTCTTTCATCTCAAATAACTGTATTTTAAATTTGGAGTAAATATTATTAACATTTAATAATACACATTCATACGTAATAATGGAAACGATAGCAAAATAAATTTTACCCAAATTCTAGAATTTAAATTGTACTTACAACTATGTACCATTAGATGGCACTCACTAAGAGAAAAATCCTTAAAACAGAGCTCGGCCTTTAGAACGTACTTTTTATTATTATTAGCATATTCATCATTACAGATTGTAATCTTTCCCCATACACTCCACCCAACCTGCCCCCAACCCCTCTTCCTCCCTCCCCCCGATCTCCAGTATCCTTAGCTTTGTTCTCTCCTTCTGACAGTTCAACATTTTATTGTGGTCTTGTCTTTCTTTCTTTTAGAATGCACTTTTGAAAAGAGCATAATCACTCAATATTTTTTGCTGAAAAATTAGACTGTATATAAGTTTTGGAAAGTTGGTTAATAAGGTTAAGGGAAAGAATTTGTCCTAGATTTTGTCCAAGATTACTTTCCTGTATTCCTGCCAAAGCAAAATAACTTTAAAACTGATTTATGTTGGATCTGAGAATATTTTGAAGGAATTACAGCATCTTCATAGAGATGGTGTAGGCTGAAACACAATTAATCTCAATTCAGGCAATTTCATACTTTGACCCATGTCAAATCTTGCCATAGTTTCATGAAACTCACTTCAGCAGCCAAGTAAGACTTTGGTTCTGTTTGACGAGAAACATCCTGCTACACTTCCAATTTCAACCTGATTCAGGGTAAAATTTATACAAAAGCATCTTTAGCTCAACACATGGAAGACTCTAAAGGTATTAATTTTTTTTCCCTTAAAACCAGTTGTTTTCCCATTGAAGACATCCAGGCAAACAAAAAAGACTTCCTTTTGGTGACATCATGCGATAAGATGACCTCTGGTCATCAGGAATCCCTTTAAAATTGTTATATAAAAAGGAGTTTAGAGTTTATAAAATTTAGCTATAAATCCAGGAAACTCCTCTTCTCCAACTCTCCTTCTGTTGCCACTCCAAGCAGATCAAGTATATATAACCCACCCTCTTTTGTCCCTCAAAGACAGATTTAAAGTTTTAAGAATAAAGTATATATTAGCTGCCACCTATCCGGGGAGAAATAGGTTCAGTAATATTATGCTTATATATCCCCACATCCCAAATACTATCCTTAAAAGTGAAAAACATAACCTCCCCCAAAACAAACAAAAACCAAAACAGAAAACATGATGAGTTCTCAAATTCTAATACCCCTTCTCTTTCCTCCCACTTATTCAGTTCACTCAGGTCATACTTTATAAATAAATATGCTTAGACTCTCATTAGGTCACATTTGAATTACAGATTTTTACAAATACATATCATAGCTATAACATTCTTTTGGGACAAGATATTTGTATAGGCTTTTGCTAATAACATAAGAATCATAAGGCCATAAAAAAACAAAAATATTTTCCAAGGTAAGATTTTTCTTGTAACAATGAAAACCAAGTCTTCTTTAACAAAGTTTTGAATAGTTAGAGACATGCATAGAGATAGGATACTTAGGGAAAATTGCTAAGACTGGATCAGCAGCAAGGCCCTCTGCAGTTTAAATGTCATATGGTATGGCAGTAGGCACTATCTCCCCATGACAACTATTTCATTATATTTTGGGTGTGAGTCATCAATCTAGAAACATATCAGTGCTATGGAGAGAAAGGAAAATTATACAATCATAGACTATCCAAAACAGATAAGATGTTAAAACAATGAATTATAAGACATCATTACGAATAAGAAATTTTTTGATAATAATTGATCCTGGTGTATAACTAGTTGTAATTACCCTTGGGGGAAGAATTACACATTTGTATAACAAATGATAGAGCAGGATTTAACTATGTTACCATATGGATATCATATATAATACTTCTAATGTTGTGAGGCTGTTGCATGGAAAAGGAACCAGAACACCTAATTGAGAATTTAAAAAGGGGATCTTTATAAGTTGGCCGGTGACGGTCTCCCCAGATATTCTGGTAAGGGGACAGCCCCAGATCTAAGTTTAAGGGGGCCTTTTGAAAGCAAAAAGTCACATAGGCAAAAAAAATCATATAGTCACACAGTCAAAGTTATCATCTAGTCATACACTTAAAGTTATCATATAGTCACACACATTTCCTCCTGGTGTGAGGAGGAAGGGGGTTTGGCAGGGCCTAGCGCAAGCTGGTTACAGAAGCCAAGATAAGCCAGTTAATTACTTAGGGACACCAAAAACCTCCCCAGGGCAGTTTCCTCCATAGGTTGTCTGGATACATCCAGATATAGCTCTTGGTTTTATCAGCCAGGAACAGCATAGGCGAGAAACAGCAAAGGCAGGCAGAATTTAAAATTTTTCCAAGTACAGGATAATTTTTAATTTCTAACTTCTACTAGGAGTGCTGGGGATTTTTTAAACAAAGACACTTTTCAAACAGTAAAAAAATGGCATAAACTAAATCAATCCACCTTGTCACACTAATCCTTGGTTAAGATAGTGTTTTTTAGCAACTTAATCTCTCCTTTTCCTACTTTGATAGTTGGAAAAGACACACAGTCTATAATTTAAATAGGAGAAAATGTATACAAAAATCTTGGAACTACCAGTTCCTAAGTCTATGTGAACATGGACAAGTCACCTCACATTCTCTGGTGCCAGGTGTGTTTTTTTTTTTTGGTTGTTTTTTTGTATTTGCAGAACAAAACATTCTGGCTAATCACTTCCTCTAACAGTCTAAGACTCTATTCAGAAGTATGTTAAACTATTATTATAGGCTAAAGGTACAGAACATTCAGTCTCAGGACTAGAGAAAATATAAGAATGAAACTTCTAGATAAATGTAAATACCTCTATGACCTGGAAGTTAGTTTGAATATAAATCCTTAGCAGGTACTGTAGTTATATAAAATCAGCTTAGCGCCATGGTTATCAAATCAAGTGTGTATGAGAATCAGCCAGAGGGTTTGCAAAACTCATTAGTGGACTCCAACACATGAGTGACTGATTCATTAGGTCTGGGGTACAGTCTGAGAATTTGCACGTCTATCAAGTTCCCTGGTGATGCTGCTGGTCCAGGAGCCACACTTTGAGAACCACAGATATAATGCATACATTTAATTTTAAGATGTTAAATGCCAATAATTTTTTTTCCTGCACAGCATGTATATTTTACAGTTGTTGAATATATATGCCACAAGTACAAAACACTTGTCACTTCTTAAATGTGGGGTAGTTAGTCGATGGTGGTAAATTTATAATAGACTCTATTTTCTCATACACTATCTAATAATAAATATTTGGATAATTTATTTATGTATGTCTTTCGATTTATTCAAAATAAAAATCATTAAATCCTTAGATTAGGATTGTGTATAGATAGGAAAAATATTTTAACATATAATATTAGCAAGAAAATAAGTACTTTTCAGTAAAATGGCATTTACTACTTGGAAGCCTTCTCAGAAATACATACCTTTAAAGTAAGAACACCCCTTGTTGGCGGGGACTCACTCACCTGTAGGTGTAAGGACCCCTTTGCTTAACCTTAATGTTACTGCTGTTCACGATCACTTCCTGTGGATTTTGCACATCGAAGATCCAAAACTGCCTGTAAACTTCTGTGCCTGTTTTAACCCAATTTTTAAAAGCAATTGTACCTTCCTCAAGGACAACTTCCTGTGAAAAAGAAAACAAGTTTGGTTATTTTTTTGTAGTAAATACAGGTACTTCTCAGTTTGTTTATAGCCTTTAGTCAGCAGAGTAAAAAGACCAAGCTCAAGTACACTGTTTGTGAGAACCTTTGCAATCTCGCCACACACTTGCAGTAGAAATGTCTTAAACAAATAATTACAGCAATCTTTTAGTTAACCTTTTACAAAGAGATCAGTGTGTAATACTGAAGACACTACTACTGATTTTAAATCAAACAATTGTCAAGCTTTAGGATAACCATACAACAGTATTGCAAAAGTCAGTAACACAATTTGTTGAGCAAATATTATTAAAGTTGTTCCGAAAAGGTCTTATTCAGTTGAACATTAACTTCTCTTCTGCCCGTAAGTGATTTGGATTGAGGAGGCAAAACAGAAAAATGGAGTGAAAACTAGTGGTATTGGAAGCTTTTTCCTTTTCTTCAAGAGTTGGGCATTTCAGGGGACGGTGACAATGTTTATTACATTAAGAAAATAAATACTTCTGGATGAAAAAACACAAATTTCACTTCTTGCCTGAAAATCTTCATTGATATGGCTTCCCTAACTCTCAATATATTTGCACCAATCCACTAATACATGCTTCCAAAGATTACAGCAATCTAATACATCATTATTGGGTTACTACTTTTTAGAGAAAAGGAAAAGAGAAGTAAGCTGTCCTATTATTCCTATGTAAAATCCATTAAAAATCATTGATGCCCCTTGTACTAAAAATAGATTAGCAGACTATATATACCAATGACAGAATTAAAAAAAAAAAAAAAAAACCTATATTAGAAATCTATTGGGTTTTTTTTTTTTTTTTTTAGGAGCTTTGGGTACAAGTGGAAAGTCAGCAAACTCCTCAGGGTCAATTTCATTATCTATAAGATGAGGGAGTTACCATAGATGCTCTCCCAGTTTTCTTCCAAAGCTTTCCCTTTCTGAGCCAGAAGTCTGTGAAGCTATTGAAACTAGGGCAAACAAAGGTGGCACTGGAGCAGGCAGTATTTCCAATTAAGTACCTTGGGAAGAATGCCCAGGTTGGAGAGTTACAACTCAATGTTAGTGTGCTAGAGGAAGAAAAAGAAAACTATTTCACAGAAACTGAGCCTAAAGAGCCACGTGAATACGGGAACAATCTGACCTATTTGTTTCCTTCACTTGGAAGCATCAATTCATAGAAGGTGGATCAGGAAAGAACAGTAAACATGATCACATTTTCTGGTAGAGCACGCTGAGGCTCTGAGAAACAGGTGGCTGGCCAAAGGGTGACCTATGCAACACAGTAGTGATGAAAATCCTTGTCTCTGACCCTTAGACTAATCCTCTTTTATGTCATACTATTACTGTCTTTTTATTTCCAGTTGCCCTCTGCACTTAGTTGGTAGAAGTCAAATTAAGTTTCATATCTTCAAGATATTTTACTTATTGCTTAATACAGAGAATAAGGCAATTCCTTAGAGGAAAACTGGGCATCCAGCTAAAATGCAATTACAAAAACCTGTGCTGGTGCAACCCATTTACACTGGATACATTGGAGCAGCTAAAGTGATGTTAGAATTTCTATTACTTTTTACCACAAATTGTCCTTGAAAAACTTTTTGTTTGCTGCCCCCTCCCCCCAAATTATTTCCATAAGAACAAGCTCAATATTAAGACAAAATTACATAAAGTATTATGGTTATTCTTCTATATTTAAAGGTGTTTAATGATGATGTTAAAGTTGAAAGCAATGTAGAGGCTGAAAACTGTCATTTTACCTATTTCAAGGGACTTTATGAAGGGAAAACACACACTCACATTATGTGTCTCACACCATAAGAATCTTAAGGCCTAATGTGATATTTATCATGTGCCTCTCAATATGCATATTTCATTTTAGTTCTTAATGAAAGGAACTCAAAAACTTCTAACAGAATTGGACAGGTCTGTGACAGAATGTGTTTGACAGGACAGAATGCCTCCCTAACTCTAATGCCTGTGTATCTAAATACCAAAAGACACTGTAAATGTATTATGCCTTTTTTCCTAAAAGCCATCAATCATTTTGCCTTAGTTGTTGCTAGAGATATTTTTTTAAATGGGAGAGCTGAAAAACGAAGAGTTGAAATGAATGATCACTGAATGATCAGCTGCTGGAGTTAGGACCAGCCAGCCTCATCCATTTTGTCAGAGGTAGAAAAAGGGCCCTAAAGAACACAGAGGTCTGATTCAATGTTTCATGACAATTTAGTAGCAGATAATGGAGAAATCATATCTTTTCACTTCAATTTTGTGCACTTTTTATAACATCACATCATGATTTTTTTTCAGAGAAAAAGAGAAAAGTACTGAAGTAGTCAAAATAGGAATGCAGTTCTTCTCATGCTAACACTACTATAACTATTAGAAAAATGTCATGAATTCCTCCGATTTTAAAAGAAGCAAAAGAATTTATGTCCTTTATGAATTTTAAAGGACTTGATTTTAAAGGAGAGAACAGAACTGTGGTTATTAGAGGTGGGAAGGGGGGAGAGGGGTTAGTGAGAAAGTGGTTAAGGCTCACAAAAAATGATTATGTTTTGTAAAAAGGAGTATACTAATTATCCTTATTTGATCATCATGTATTGTACACAGGTATTGATATTCAACTCTATAACCCACAGATGTGTATAATCAATAAAAAATTTTAAAAAGGGCTTGGTTTTTTAAGTTGGATTTGGACTCTATAGCCTATTTTACAAATTTTTCACTAAATCTGAAGTGCAAAGCTGTTAATTATATGCACAGAACAAATAATATAACTTAATATCCTCTCACTTGGCTATTGTGTATGTCAGTATTTGTCCCTGACTTTATAGCCCCAGTGATGGCTGGATTCCAACCTGGTGACTCTCACATAGCATGGTCTACAACTGAGTTGAAAGCTATTGATCTTGAAACTTCTAATCTGCTACGTTAATAGGAAAACAGATGTGTACAACAGTCATATCTTCTATATAGTCACATACTCACTTGATTATTGCTACTGCATGAAAACAGCGCTCATCTGTATAACTGGCAACTTCAGTGTTATCACTAAAATGCCCCGATATCTTCTTATGTGTGGAGTAGGTAGAGTACAAATGTAGAAAATATATTGTCTCATTTCTCAAGGACCTTATAAAGTACTAAGAGACAGAATCATGGACAGCAGATTTTAATCTATGAGTGAGACTGTCTTTCACTACCTCCCCCCTAACAAAGTACAGTGTCTTCTTCCCTTGAAGCATAAAGTGAGGTGGTTGACAATACAGCTGGATGCCATGAGTTTGATCCCCACTTTGATCACTTAATAACCACTTAAATTTGGGCAGGCTATTTAATTTCTTTGTACCTCAGTTTCCTCATCTGTGAAATGAGGATAATAATATTAGGTTGAACCATAGGAACTTTGTATTTTTGAAAGCTCAAATTAAATATTGGCATTTCATATGGTTTAATTAAATATTTATCTCATATCCTGTGATCAGGCTGAATAAACATGTCCATTTAGAATAGTGTTAGCACAAAGCAGGCATTCAATAAGTGTTAGCTGTTAGTATTATGCAAATCCTACCCACCCTTTAGAGGAAGAATTCTAACATCATTTACTCTCCACACTTCTTTAACTGCTTGGTTCACAGTATCTACTATCTAAACCAATGACACCAATAACTCATGTAAAATCTTGGGAAACTTCTTTTTCTGCTATTGAGTCATCTTTATATTTATTCTCATTCCAGTAAAATAAAAACTTTCTTAAAAACTTTCTTATATTTCTTAAATGAAAACTTTCTTAATAAGCAGACTAAAAATAGCCTCCATCCTTCCCACCCACTTCTACAATTTGCTTGTAACTGGTTCTAAACAGAACAACTTTCTCATGTTTAAAAAAATTCTTACATGTTTATACATTATGCATGTGTGTGTATATGTTGAAAGAGAATGAATTAGGATATTAGTGACAGTTGTGCTGAGAGTCAGAAAATGGCTTTAGTATCAGATTATCGTCATCAACTAAAACCCAGAAATTAGCCTCCAAGAATTTATGTAAGAAGCTAAAATGGGAGATTTTATATTTGGCATGAAAAGTAAAAATATGCTAATTTTAAATTAGGCTTGAGGAAGAGAATTATATATGCTTACCTGCTATTTCTAGAAATATTGTTTTTAAGTGACTTTTTTTATTACAGTTATATACAAATATAGGGTTTAATTCATTTTTATACTGCTATTATAATTTTTTTGGATTGTTCCTTGTTCTCATGTTATTAAATATAAAAATAAATTCTATCATCATTAACGACTAATATGTCAGGAATTTCTTTCCGAGCTTTTTAGACACTATGAAAAAATATGAATTATTTTATCAAATGGAAATACCATAAGCATATATTATGAAATTCACATAAGCAATTTAATAATATAATTGAAATATGGGCTATTGGTTCAAAAGTCTAGACACTTTTATCAACAAATAATTATTTCAATTTATTTTATCTGAAAGCTTTTCTTACAAGTTACTAAAGTCTCATTCTCAAGAAAGAGGGAAGGAAAGGATGGTATAATTGAATATTAGTGTTTTAATAGAAAAAAAAGAAATCTTTACTTCCCTTTTGGTGTTCTATAGTTAGTGAATATCACAAAGAAATTAAATTAAAATTTATTTAAAATTACCTGTGTTACATAATATTCACTAGACATTCTATTAAGTAATATTAACAATGTCAAGTAATAAATTATCTTTTGTAAATGGTGGCAGAACTTTGAACTTTTCCCAAAGTAATTTGGTAGTTTCCATATTCATGGCAGCTCATATTACTGACTTTCAGTCTATCTAAAAAGATTGCATAAACCAGCTGACTCCGCACAAATCTATTAGGAATCAGTCAAAACTACTGGTAAGAAAGATTTCAACTATAATCCATAAAATGCATGAAATCCCCAGAAAACCTTCCTTGGAAATAAAGAGCAAACTGAAATATAAGTAAAATTTCAGAACTATTTTAGACCATTTCAAATTACAGTGTCACCATGCCATCTTTCAGAACTGGCAAGTATCCCAGACCTCAAACTCTATACTTTGTATATGAGAAAACAATATGAGATGATTTTCTGATCTTTTTCAATTAAGCATTTTAATTCTTTTTTTCCCCACATGACACTGTATACAACTATTAGCTTTCTCAATTTGCTATTAAGCAATTAAATGAATACAGTAATATTCCATGAGTTTCAATGATAAATAAGTACTCATCAGTACCAAAACTCTTATATGTTTGTAAAATAACAGCATTACCCTAAGTGTTCCTGAGGCAGGGGTAAGATACTTGACTCTCTTGGTTTACACATAATTCAGAGATTTGACTCCTATTATATGCCAAAGAGATATAAATGCAATATCATTTTAAAAATAGTTTTGTGAACTAAAGAAAAAAGGAACAGTTTTATGTGAACAAAAATTCTCAGCTTTTTCATATGACTAGAATTGACAAGGTCAACATGGTTATATGGAAATCTGAGAGCAAAAGCAGATTTAACCTTAAATGAGACACAGACCTGGACCATCATAAAGGATTCCAATGAAGAGTCTTAGTCCATGGATATGTATGAGCACACAATGCAAACTATCACTTAGCAGTTTTTTGGGATTCATGCTTCCCTCAAATTTCAGTTTTGAATGTCCTCCATCTTGAGTCTGGATTCATATGGCTCCCTTTTGTCTTGTAAAAGGTTGCACAAATAACCCTCATGTCAAAAACAAGAAGGAAAAGGACTCTATTTCTTTATTTTATCTCCCTTTTATTACCCTACTCTACTTAAATTATTCTTTCTAGATCATTAATGACCATGTTCTAGCCATTATTTTCTTAATTTTCATCTGCCTGAGAACACTTTATTCTCTGTCCTTCAGTTCTGGCCTCCTATTTCTATTTCTGAATTACGTACAAATCCTACAAAAATCCTTTAGCTGTTTTCTCTCTACATTCATACACTAGAAAGCAAATATCCTCTTTAGTTTTATCTGTAATCTACATAGCAATGATCAAATCTATTTGAACTCTGATCTTTGAAACACAGACTGATATATATGTCACACCACTTACAAAACCTCTCCTTCACTTCCTAAGGTATATATTTCTATCAGTAACTAAACTGGACATGTTACAATTTATTTTTATCCTCTCCTTATTTAGTCCCTCTGTCCAAACTTCCATTGCATCCTATCATCCATCAGTTTTTTTCTATGTACCTCACCACACTAGACCAGAATGTCCTTTGTTATACAATGCAAAGATCTTTCTAAAAGGGAACTTCAACTTCTCCTTGAAAATGGTCATGTCCTAAATAGTTTTTTCTTGCTTTCCTGTCTTCCTCTTTTTCTAGCCCTTTCTATTATGCAAGCACAATGCATAAGACTATGTATCATCTAGTCTGTCTTCAGATTGCCTAAGTTTGCAAACCAACTTCTTTTCCTATTAGCTAGGTGAGCTGGCAAGTTGATTTAAGGACTCGTGACTATAAAATGTGTAAAATATAGTACCTTCTCATAGATATTTGTGAAGATTACATGAATTAGATATAGGAAGCTCTCAGTAAGAGCTAAATAAATGCTATCCATTTGATGATATCAATCATCAAATTTTGTTGTATCTAAATGCAGATTTTGTTGTGTCTTACTGAAAAACATACACCAACTACTATCGTGTATAGCATCAATTAAATATTCTTCTGCCTGATATTCGAAGCTTCCTAAGTCTAACCCCATTTTGCTTTTCTAATCAACTCTCTTCTTAATCCACATTCTCAGCCTTCTTCCTTCCCTCTTCACTGTTCTTAGGTGTATTTTCACAACTTTTTCTATACTATTAATTAGTCCTTTGGCACCTTCACAGCAGTCCTTTTTGGACTTTCAAAACTCTCTACTTCTTCAGAATCCAACTCAAGTCCTACTTTCTTCCTGAAGTTTCTTGAATACTGAGATTTTCCCCTCTAAATAGTAATTCAATTCTAGAATCTTACGGGTCTCTTTTTTTTCTCAAAATATTTTCCTTGGTTATATCTTACACTTGTTGAGACAAAAATTTATTTCATTCTCTTTAAGCCACTATACAAAAGCACAATTTGATACTTTCACAATTTGGTACTACAAAACTCTTATTTTCTCATGATTAATTATTATGAGTTTAGAGATAATTATTAAATAATTAACTAAAATAGATGCCAGCACCTCAAGTGCCATCTGAGAGTCTACATGTACTAATGTTGTTGCATAAAGAAAAAAGATTAGATGATCAATCTTCAGCTATTGATTACCAATTATGTATCAGAAGATATAGACTTAGTCTAAAGTGCTGTGGGCTGGGAGATAACTGTGACTTTACTGTTCGAAAAACTTCTCCAAAAGATAAGTTATAGTCTGCATGTAAATACAAACACTGACCCTGTCTCTCTCTGCGGAAGATCCATATGGAAAGCACAGTTTATTGAGCAGTTATGGAGCAATGGCAATTCCATCTCACACTGTCAGATAAGCCCTGCCTCACCATCACCTATCTATCTCTATTGGGTCTGTGTCAAAAATATTATCAAGAAAACTGGGAATTTGGAGGCGGGGAGTACCATTCCATTTATAATTTTTTTCCCTCAGCTAAACGCACGAGGCTAAAGATTTACAATATGTTAACAACAGAAGAGATAGAAATGACTATATTAATATTGAGCAAATATAGATACTATTACCTTTAAAATGACCTATCATTTTTAGTAAGACAACAGCTATAGTGGTACTGTGAGAAGATTTCTTTTAACTTTAAAACCGTTAGCATATTTAACTGAAGAAAGAAGAATCAAGAAAGTAGTAACTTCTTGTCATGAGTAACTAGATTTGAAATTAATTCTTCATATTGTCAATTAAGTCAAGAAATAAAATATTTGTTTATGTTTCTAGTAAGAGCAAGATGTCAAACATGGATAAATGGATGAGACATGTAAAGGTCCTGGCAGTAAAATAAATTTCAGCATGAACAGGTAGGTGTAACCCATTATGTGGTTCAATTCTTCTTGTCTGTTTGGCACTATGCTTGCTAACCCTCTGTCTAGGTCACTAGGTCACTGTCATCCTAACTAGGCTGACAGCTGAAGCCAGCACTCAGATATGTTTAATTTGGCCAGCATTATGTTTAAAAAAATGAAGACATATGCCATTGGGTAGGACACACACTCTCAAGTTCTGTTTTTCATTTTATCTTGTTCGTGGCAGCTTTAATTTAAACCCCTACTCCAAATTCCTGAAGCCATTTGAATTTGCCATCCCCCCCTGGTTTAAGATTTCAGCAGATCTGCTTCCCCTTATTCAATTCTTCCCTCTATCAGTTAAAGTTTCTGGTGAGGGAGAAGCTGGCTAGAATGAACTAGAGTGGGAGATAAATTTTAGATTGTTATTCAGTTAAACTATAGTCAATTTTTTGATATATACTGAGATATGTCCTACATATTTCTGAAAGTATTTTCTGAGTCAAATATAAAGTTTGTAAAATATATATATATATATTTATGAGACAATAAGATTATTATACATATTATAAAAAGCTGTGGTTTACCAAACAAAAAAATGTTTACCAGTTTACCAAAGATTCCTGCTTTACTATTAAACAAAATGTAAATATGTGTATGTATAATTTTACTCAGTAATAACCAAAATGTAATTACTTTTATTAATGTTCCCTTGCAAAATACACTTACTTATTTGTCCTTCAAAAGCATGTCAACATACTCTTTTGATATAATTAAAAACAATTATTTCTACTAACCTGCATACCTATAAATAGCTTTTTATCAGAATTGGATATTTATATTTAAGATAGCCATGTATTCATGCTAAACGTACATTAGGCTTGTAACATTTCAGCCACAGTCACTTCTATATCATGTAGACTTGCAGTGGTTCATAATTATATTCATGTTAAAGACACAAAATTACCAGATACTATGAAATATAAAACAGGTACCCAAAGCAAAAAAGAGACATAAGATAAAATGAATCAGAATAATAAGAAATATTCTTTAGACTACTTGTACCTTTTTAATTGTCTTCTCTATAAGCATGTCTCCAACTGGCATTAAAATACCTCCAAACACAGCCAGAATTGCGCCGATGACAGCCCCAGCAATGAGCCCACAGTTTCGATCACAGCCCATTTTTCTTGCTCAGAAGATGAACTAAGGTTAAGCACCTGATTCTTTCAAACTCCCAGATTTGATAAAGGCAGTTTGTACAAGGTATGGTTCTATCATTAGAAAGATCATAAAATAGAAGCTTAAATATTAGTACAAAAAGATCAAAGTACAAAAAAAAAAAAAAAAACACACAACAGATCGTTTTGCCAGTATAAATAACAAGTGCTTTTCTTTTTGTTTTGCCAAACTGACTTTCTAGGCTCTTCTCCCTTTTCTTGCTCCTAACCACATACCAGTGGCAGAAATAATAGTGTGATATAGAGTATTTCTTGAAAGTTCTTCCATCTTTAATTTTCTTCCTATGGATGATTAACACATTGAAATCTTATCTCTGGTGAACGCTCACTCTCCCTTTCCCTCAACCTGGGACTCTTATCTGAGTCCTCAGCTTCTGTCAGCCTTCTCCGCCCAAACACAACCACCCACACCCTGCCTGAAGTTCTCCTGAAAACCGAATATGGGGAAACTGATGTCTTCTCTATCTAAATGCTATGAAAATATGGAACAGATGTTTTCTTTACCTTATTCCCAAATAAACAGCAAGGTATGCATTGACAGGAAATGACCTGATGAGTCTCAGAAAGAATCCATTCTTCAAATCATTTGTAAGCTAGCTGTTAAAACAAAAAGCATGGGTAAATAGGTAAAATATACCGTCAGAAAAGTAACACTGGGATACTCTCTAATAACACCATAATTAAAATAATTGCTAAAAATATCCCATTTCCACGAATACTGTTTACGCCAGAACTGTTTGCCTTATAAAAAATGTTAAAAACACTGAATGATGTTAAAGAAGTGTACTTTATTTTCAATTTTATTGTTAATGACTTTTGTATAGACCATAGATGTAAAAAAGTTTGGAGAAAACAGGATGGTGTTTTTATGATAGGCATTGCTTTCTAGTCTCAAGGATTTGTTTTGTTTTGTTACACATTCAACTACAATGTTGTTCATTTTGTCATGTGCAGCTGATTCATGCCAATTCTGTTAAAATCAATTAGTTTGGGCTTGTATTTCCATTAATCTTATTTTTGGTATCCTTTATGTAGTATGTGGTTATTACCTAAAGATTGAAAGAAAATTTATGGAATGAGTAGATACCATTGTAATAAAATTAGTAAGAATTTATTACTTCTGACATATTTAAAAACACATTCATTTGAGCTATTTTGGTTGTAATGGTGTTTTTGTTTGTTTGTTTTTTATAATGAGGTTGACCTGTCATTGATACACAAATTGTGCATTGTGGCTTATAAACAAAAACTCTCTACTTCAAAATGCCCATGGCCAAGGAAAACATACAAGTCAACAAAATGAAGGGTACAAGACAAAAAAGAGGCACACAGCCTATTTTTGTCAACATTGTAATGTAATAATAGACATTACATTTTTTATGATCTCAGGTTTTCCTCCACAGCTTTGTTGCAACAGAAGTATAACTCTTATAATTTTATTAGTGTTTATTTCCACTTGAAGAACCATTTAGTTTTTCAAAAATATTACTTGTACAGCTAAGAAAACAATGCTAAGAAAATAAGACTTGTTCACAAAATAGAGAAAGATAAATGTTACAAAAATTTTTCTTGGCAATTTATGTATGTATGTACTCTTCCTTACTCTGTCGGATTTCCTTCTACCTACTCTCTTATACCTAAGATATTTCCACCATAAATCATTGGATGCAACAAACTCACTTACACTGAGGTCTTGGTAACTAAGAAGCTTGAATATTCATTAGTTTCTCATGTTTCTTCCAATATAAAAGTAAAACACATAAGCCTACACAAGTGGTTTTTCCTGTGGAATTTTATGTCTCACTAAGTAAGTGGGGCTGGATTTTTATTAATTGTTTGGAGGTAGAGAATAGCTTTCTCTGACCTCTGAAATCACATAACATGCCATATCCTATAGCTTTGGCCAAGGTTGTCATTATGAAATGAAAAAAGTTACTCAAGGCTGATAGTAAGGACTGGATATTATGAAATAGAATTTCCTTTGCAAAGTATAATTGTAAAGCACTTTAAACTTTTCCTGAAGCCATCTTTTAGGCAACCATACCAACTGCTAAATCCAGAATATCATTCTGATGTTCTGTATGTTGTGAACTGATAATCATATTCAGGGTAGCTTATTAAGTAATATTTTGCTGAATGTCCATTTCATAAACTACCCCCTCACTCTTATCTGCAAGTTATACTTAAGGAAGCAATCAAAATACAGAAATCCAATATGATGCAATTGAGGTTAGGAGACTAGAGTTTAAGTCAAGACTGATTTACCACACTCATGACAGTGGGTACACTTACTCTATACCTCAATTTCCTCATCTGTAAAAGGAGATTCTAAAATGAGATCAGTAATTTGTAATTTAAGCAGCTAAACTGGGTCTTCACCTCAATTCTTATGTGGAAGACCAACAGGCACGGTGACTACACAGCAGTGGTTGGAGCCCAGACACCCTCATGCCTAACCTGGTCTCCCCACTCCTGCCTGACATTCCCCTTTCCCACATTTAGGAAGCTCTAGGAGAACTTCTGTAGAAACCTTTGGCTTTGAGAGCCTACTAAAAAAATGGGGCAGGAAATTCACAGAGTCAAATTCCAGTTTTGTAACTGTGACATGAATTTATTTAAAAACATATATTACCCAAAGATTAAGTCATCTCTTCTTGAAAGTTATTTTATGTCCTACATAAACTTCACTAAAAATTACTCATTCTATATTGATGTCTTTGCAACTCTGACATATGGAATATAAGATGAATTAAAAGTTGCAATTCTATTGCTTCTAAAATAAATACATATTTATATATTTGCTGCTTTCTAGATTCTATGCCAGGACACAGTCATGAATCTATCTGACCTTTTCCAGAATCATTCTTCTTTACGTAGCCCCAGTTACTACAGGGAAGAGTTACTGCAAGGGGCAAAAATTTCCAAGAGTACACTCTCTAATGCCACCCTCTATAGACCTGAAAACTAACTGTTATGACTTCTAGGGATTCTCAACCAGACATGTTGAACAGTGGTCAGGCCTGGCTATTGCCTAGGCTCTGTCTATTTTGAACTTAAAACTGAAGTAAGATAGTGCTGCTGAGTCAAGGTCATTAGAAAACAGACATATCAAGTAACCTGTTCTGTTGAATCATATAGTTATACAGTTATTAGTAATTTGCCTGGATGATAAATAAGCAAAGATACAAGTATTAATCTAAAATCATTTCATCCATATACAGATATTTTAAAGAGGAGGAGGGAGAAGAGAGGGAGATTGAGTTTGTCTGCTTGTCCAAATTTTCAACTGATTGATTCACTTTTATTACGTTGATGTAAGTCTCTGCCTTTTTCCCCCTAGAATAGGCAAGATACTTGACATTAACTGGATTCATTTGTTATCCTTCAGTGCCTTGACACCATAAGTAATGAAGCTATTATAATTATACTTTAGCCTTATGCTGCATACTACAAAATTATAATTAGTTTTATTCACCTGTGACAAAGGAGGGCTAAACACATTATGTGAGACATGTACATCAAGTTCAGCTATTTAGAGCATGGAAAACTTGGGTCTTGCACACTTGATTTTCTTTATAACATAACCCCTTACACATTAACATAGGTTAATTTTGGATTGTTTTATTCTTTTAAAAAAAAGAGACAAGACATTGATATCTGTAATAATTTACCTCCTTCTTAAAGAACTTAAATTCAGAAGTCCAAGAATAATCACAGGTACAGAAAACTACTAAGAATTGGATAAAGAAAGGAAAATAGAAGAGCATGTTTTAAGATATCACTAATTACATACATTTCTTGATACTGTCTCCTATCCAGTACCTTTTGTACAATTCATGAGTGGATTCTATTCCCTTGACTTGTTTTTGAAGAGGGATGGAAAAATATAACCTTTTTCTTATTTTGCTGTCAAATCAACAGTGTTTCTATAATGAAGTTTTAAGCAAAATACCTTTTCACTGTATTGTGGACCTGGTAGAAACTGAGACTAAGCTTTTTGCAGTGGCTGGTAGCCTGACCTATAAGAAGCCGCTCCAGTAAATAGATCAGAGTATTAAAGCAAATCCCCAGAGAATCTTTAATTACTCCCATGTGTGGTTAAGCTGTGTTCCCTGGGAAACTCTGCCCAGAAAAGGCATGGCCCAAAGGCAACATTTGCTGGGATGTGAACTATGTAATTTTAAAAAGCTTCCGATTTTCAGGTTACTTATACCATAAATGAGTATCAGGACCTGGATGACATTTTCTTACTGATCAATGGATATCTCAAATTTCCAGTTTTATCCATAAGCCTTTCTTCCACTTTTCCTTAAGATAGAAAACCAGACCACACACCTCTGTTTTTCACAATGCACACAGAGTCATTCTTTTGATACACTAAGTCTTCTTTACCTAAAAAATTCAGCATCTGCCCATAAAAACCAATTTGTAGAGTTACTTGGGGTGAAGTTAGCTATCAAAATTAATTCCTTTTCACATTCTTATTCTATACTATATCTATGTGTTTACACAGCCAGGATTCACTAGACATAAGTAAGATAGAGATTCAAATACAAGCTAGTAGAAATGGGTAAAAGTCAATCATAAATATGATTGTTTCATCACATGGTAATAGAAGGTCATTAAGTCAGTCTTAACAAACTTCTGTTTAGAGATAGACTCCTCCTTTCAAGTTAAATTTTATACATAATCCCAATACACAGAGACAGTTCAAAGAAGAGCTATCTGGTAAAAGAAGGGAGTGGGAATGTGTCCCCCCCCCCCTTCCAATCACACCTCACTTGGGCTCTGAGTCATCCCCCAGGGACCCAAGGGCTTTGCAGAAAAATTTTAACTAACTGGATTAGGAGATCTCCAACAGCTCATCTTACTGAAGTTACTACATGTCCACATGTCCATCCTATCAGAATACATAAAGGCAAAAATATGCAATAGGAAAAAAATTTACAGACATCTGTAATATAAAAGATAATATACTTCACTAAGTTATACTTCTGAAATGTTAAAGTTTAAAACTTGTTTTGGTAGTAGTCTTAAATTAGTATAATAAATACATTGGATTTCATAAACCTCATATTATACTCAGAATATTTCTAGAAACAAGCCTGTCTTTTAAAGACTTATGAACCAGAGCTTACCACAGGTTTGAAATGATTCTCTTAGAGTCATATTAATTTAAATAAGATTATCTAGAACTATTCTTAATCTTTGAACCCTCGGCAAAAATGCTATAATATCTTTTCTTTGTCTGCCACCCAAAATTCTTCTGTAAACAGAAAGATACTGTAAGCTTTTCAGTGGTTAAGATTCTGGGCTTTGAAGTCAGAAAATGTAGATTCAATTCTGTGTCTTAGTATTAAAGTTTGTGATCCAGTTTTCTCTAAAAGGAATTTATTATACATCCAACAAGGTTGAAAGTGTCAAATAAAATTAAATGAGATGATATATAAAATTCCTATCTTAGAAAATGTTATTGTTATTTTGAAATGTTATTATGAAATGTAATTTTAAACAATAACATAACAGTAAAATGTTATATTGGCTAAGTGTTATTTTTTTAAATCAAATAAATGTGTATATTTTACACAACTAGAAAT